GTGGTATTATAATAATGAACAAAATTTTTGGTCATTGTTGGATAAAGTGTTAAGATAGCAAGGGAAATGTATACTTTTACAGTTGTACTGTAGGTGGTACTCTTTTACTGCTTCTTCTGAGGGTAGGGGCAGAATAAATATATATTCAATTCAGTGTGATCCATCATCAGGCAACTGTTCAAAAAGTAGCATTCTTAAATGCTCTCAAATGTCCAGTAGCAAAAATAAATGAAGGGCATAGTGCATTAAGGGATTTCCAGTGGAGTCTCTCAGGGCAGAGGAAACTGCTGCGAGAGAGAGCTCATGGGACAGATTGTGCTCTTACTGCCTTTAGCAATAGCTTCCTAACTAATCAGTCTCCAGGCTTACACCCTGCTTTAACTTGAGCTGCTTTCTGTTTGCTAGGCACTGACTGAAAACAGGACACAGCCAATTATTCTCTGCTGAGTTAACCCATTTCACTTTATCCAGTGGAAAGCATGATTGCCTCCTTATGGAAACATATTCTTCATGTGTTTTCATTTTTAGTTACACATCTTCTAAATTAGGGTAAATAACAAATTATTTCAAATAAGTTTTAATTAAAACATTCACATATTTCTGTTCAGTACTCAGAGGTTTTTCTGTTGAGCCAGCTAGCACATTGAAAAAACCAATCCTGTACATCTGAGTTACGCAAATAATGTGAAATGACACCAGAAATGGACCATCACTTATGCAGAAGTAATTGCCCAAATAAGAACATAAGCAGGGCCTGCAGGATCAGGCCAAAGGGACATCTAGGCCAACATCCTGTTCTCACAATTGCCAACCAGATGCTTGTGGATAACCCATAAGTGGGATCCGAGCACAAGAGCTCGTTTTTCTTGTGGTTTTCAGAAGCATTACTGCCTTTGACTGTGAAGGCAGAGCTTAGCCTTCCTGGCTGGTCGGCTATAAACCGTTGTGCTTTGTGGTTTTTAATTTAATAATTTCACCCCACATTTTTGGTCTCCACTTTATTCAAAGAATACTCTGTGGCTGGTATTTAAAGCAGAATGTAAGTACATTTTCCCCTGAAGTGCTGGTAAATGATAAGTATACATTCCCAATTGGCAACATCATTTATTTAGAAGAATTTAAACATAAGAACAAGCTGCTGGCTCACACCAAAGGTCTAGCATCCTGTTCTCACAGTGACCATCCAAATGCCTGTGGGAAGCCCACAGATAGGAGATGAGTGTGCAATAGCAGTCTCCCCACTTGTGATTCAAGCAACTGGCATTCGGAGGCAGACTGCCTGCCACAGGGGAGGTGGAAAGTAGCCACCGTGGCTATTAGCTATCAAAACCTTGCCCTCCTTTAAAGCTAATCAAGTTGATGGCCATCATTACTTCTTGTGGGAACAAATGCCATTGTTCTGTGCACTGTGTTTTTTGTCTGACCTGAATCTTCCTGACTTATAGTATTATGAAAGATTGAGAAAAACTTCTTTGTAACCACATCATGCACAATTTTGCAAACCTCTGTCATCTTCCCTCTTTACTCTACTCTTCTGTAAACTAAAAAGTTCCAAGTCAACCTTTCCTCAAAGGGAAGTTGCTCCATCCCCTTGATTGTCCTGGTTGGCCTTTTCTGAACCCTTCCAGCTCTATAGTATCCATTTGTTCTCAATCAGTTTGACAACACTTAACATAAGAGAAGCCTGCTGGATCAGGCTGGTGGCCTATCATGTTCGGCATTCTGCTCTCCCAGTGGCCAGCCAGATGCCTGTGGGCAGCAGGAACCAAGTATAACCCTGCTCTTCCCTCCTGCGGTTTTTAGTCACTTGCATCAGGTCCTGGGGCACAACTTGGTCAAAAGGAAAGAGGGGAAAAACAGGGGGTCTGCAATACTTAGCTAATTTGGAACCGCTGGCATAAAGGACTTAAATGGCTGGACCATATTGCTTGTTTTCAATGTACTACTTTGTTATTTTGTTCATATGTTTATTTGTAAATCACTTTTAAGACTATTCCGCAGTTAAGTTTTGAAATAAAAAAAGGAGAGAGACAATTGCTGTGTTTGACTAAATCAGCAGTGAGCAACCTCAGTCTCCGGGACAAAATGTAGCCCTTCAGACCTCTTTCTCCTTTACTCAGGACCCTCCCTAGGCCACATCTCATGAGCCCTGCTCCATCTCTTCCTTGAGTGCTTTCACCTGGCTGGCATATGGACTTGAAATGTGACATTTGATTGCCTTGAGAGAGAGGTTAGAGGAGGGGCAGTAGAAACCTCTGTGTTTTGCATGGTTGGAATATAACCTACTGTACAAAGGTACTAAATGTCACATCTGCTGCATCACCTACTTTGACTGTGGTTTTGCCCACCACTGGTATATCTCCACTCATCAAGCTAATCCCCCCCATCCCCACTTGACTAGTTTCAACAAAGCATAGTTAAGATGAACTACAGTTTAGGGTTTGGTTGTAATACTGAGCTGTAGTTATTCAAAAGCAAACATAAAAGCTTCATATTTCATGGATATGCTGGGAGTTTCTTCTGCAGCTTGTTTCCATTATGATAAACAAAGGTTTATTGTGACATCCAAATGCAGATCAAATGAGAGGATTTTAACTGACCTTACATTTGCTTTCTGTACTAATAAGTGTGGGACACTAAATTCTGTCACCAGGGGTTACTCTAGTAGCTGATACCTGAAGCTTCTTTGTCACAGTCACATGTTGTGGATGGTATCCAACCAAACTGTTAGTGCAAGCACTTTTGACTGTGCAACTGAATTCCCTCTCCACGAGCCCCCTGCACCCTCCCTAAATCTGCTTCAGAGGGTTGGGGAAAACCCACAGCAGATGGTGGGGAGGGGACTGGGGGGTGGTGGTTCTGTTTCACAGCCCAGAGTGTTTGATATAGCAGAACTATTTAGTTGAATACTGCCCTTAATTTAGATTATATACTCATAAAACATAACAACCTGAAAATTAACAATAGTGGAGCAGTATCAGTTAGGTTTGCAAAATGTTCTACCAGCAAATTGGTACATAGTTGCTTGTTCCTATGTATGGTATCAAAAATGTGAATAAGGAGTGTGCTATTTGTGGACAAGTAGTGTAGAATTCAACATTTTCCTTGTTCAAGGATATATCTTGGTCTTATCCAAAGTCCTTAGCTAGACAAGTTTTATCTTGTGAGCAAACATTGAGAGCTATATTAGGTCTTCTGTAGGAGATTCAGTCATCAGGGCTGGATGTGTAGGGAGCTGCCACAGTAGGGTGTCATAAATAGCTGGAGAGCCATCTGGCCTCAATCTGTTAATACATATTTCCCTTTTGCAGTCAACTAGTGTGGGTTTTCCCCTGCTGTATGCGGCAAAGATGAGGTGCCAAAGATGAGGCAAAGGTAGTGAGGTGCCTTCTTGGAAGGCTGATTAGATTCCATTTCAGGAGGTGTGGTACTGTTTGTTGGTGGCTGCAAAAAACAACAACACAGTAGCTTGTGCTACGTTAAAGTGCACGTTTTCATAGACTTGAGGGAACTTCACCAGATGTGTTATCCTCAGTTCACAGGTGTGCCTGTATGAAATTATAAAATTCACACAAAACCCCTAGTATATTAAAGGAAAACAGGGAAAACTGGCAATACAATGCAAAAAGTACAGTCTGTGACAATTCTGTGTAAAATTTAAGATAAGCACACACAAAAATTAATCACAATAGAAGAAATGGTGGTAGTGCAGTCATCCCAGGTTTGATATGTTAATTAACACTTGTGTTGGGACTGGACACTATTGTCTCAATTCAAGCCTAAACAAATAAATAAAACTTCTTGAATAGGTCTAATTCAACAATTTCACACCAGTCGTCCCTTTAAATTATTTCGTTAGAGAATAACAATGTTCCTGTGGGCAGTGGAGTATCCTTGGAGGCTGAAATGTTCTCCCAGTGGGTTTCTGAACAAAAAGTTGTGTAGAACCATAAAAACAGAGAAAGCTATTATAAGGTTCTGAGGAGTAGACTGTAGTCCACAAAAGCATAATCTTCTGGGGGGTTTTGCTGCTACAGATAATGGTGTTAGGCAACTGGGATTGTTGCAACGTCTGCTTTTGTGTTGTGTCTCCGTTATGTGGCCTGTTGTTGTTCAAACACTTTCAATCTAAATTTGATATCCTGTAGTTTAAAACCACTGTTTTTATGCTGTAGCTATGCTTAGCTATTATAGAATCAATTTGCCTCTCTCGTATTTTAATTCTTGCCTGGTAGTCATTGGCAACAAGGAATTGCATGCAACCAAGTGCATGGAATTCCACACAGATTAGTGAGCAGCTTGTCAGTGGAGGGATGTAGTAATCCTCTGCACTCAGCATAGGAACCAAGTGGGATTCTAGAAGTGAGAGGCTCCCTCCTCTACATCCAGAATGGGAATAGTTAACATTTGCACATAATTGAATAGTGGAATTCACTTACCACCAATTTGGAAGGCTTTAGAGGGGTATTAGAAACAAATTATGAAGGGTAAGTCTCTATATCTACCTCTATAACCAGAGCATGCTAGGGAGCAACAGCAGGAACAGGCTATTGCACTCATGTCCTGCTTGGAGACATCTAGCTGGCCCTGGAGAAAACAGGTTGCTGGACTAGGTAGGTCTTTGCTCTTAATTCAGTAGTGCTCTTCTTGGCTCTTAAATGCAGTAGGCTTTTACAGGAGAGATAAAGTTGTCCGCCTCTCGTCTGCCAGCCCACAGCAGGCTAGTAACGTTTGTGTGCTTATTTACTATGTTTAGAAATGTGTGTTCCTCTGTTTTGAGCTATGCAATGTATATCCAGATGTTCAAATTTGTTCTCCTAATTTTGTCATTTGAAAGCTTCTTTAGGAGCATTTTTTGTCTGGCGAGTGTGAAAAAAAATCCAAATAAATAGGAACAAAGGAAGTTGCTGATACTGAGTTCAGAGCATTGGTCTATGTAACACAGTATTGTCTACATTGACTGGCAGTGGCTCTCTGGGGTTTTGTATAAGGTTTTCTTCCAGCCCTACCTAGACATGCCGGTGATTGAACCAGGCACCTTCTGTGTGCAAGGCAGATGCTCTACCACTGAGCTATGGCCCTTCCCCTGGTACAGAGATGTGGGTGGTGCTGTGGTCTAAACCACTGAGCCTCTTGGGCTTGCCCATCAGAAGGTTGGTGGTTCGAATCTGTGCGACAGGGTGAGCTCCTGTTGCTCTGTCCCAGCTTCTGCCAACCTAGTAGTTCAAAAGCATGCCAGTGCAAATAGATAAATAGGTACCACTGCAGCGGGAAGGTAAACAGTGTTTCTGTGCACTCTGGTTTCTGTTGCAGTGTCCCATTGCGCCAGATGCAGTTTAGTCATGCTGGCCACATGACCCAGAAGCTGTCTGTGGACAAACGCCAGCTCCTTCAGCCTGAAGCGAGATGAGTGCTGCATCCCATAGTTGCCTTTGGCTGGACTTAACCGTCCAGGGTTCCTTTACCTCTTTAGCTTTGCTAGATTACAGCTCCCATCATCCCTGACCAATGGCAATGCTGGATGGGGCTGAATGGGAATTGAAGTTGCAACACCTGGAGGGCCACAGGTTCCTCATTACTGATCTAGGCTAAGCCCTTTATAGCAGATCTTGTTTTGGATGTGCATCTTAAAAATATAAAGCAGGTTTGTTTTGAAAACAAGTGTATTATGTAAGTACACTCAAGAGGTCAGATTAGGTATGGCTCCCTATTAAGTGAAATGTATGTTATGGCCCTTGCTACTTCTCCAGTTTTAGGAAACTTTATGAGTGGTTCAGTATAAATGCATTAAGTGCCCAGATAGGTGATTTTTCCATTTTTGATTTTTAAAATGTGTTATTTGTCTTCATTGAGCCTCAGAGGTTGGTAGGAAATAAGTTCAAATACCGTATTTTTTCATATATAAGATGCCCCCTATTTTTGCGGCAACAACCAATCGCCAGTCCACCCTTGGCACTATCCATGTATAAGACGCCCCCTAATTTTTGCCTTTTTTTAAAGGAAAAAAACCCTTGTCTTATACACGGAAAAATATGGTAAATAAAAATGACTAGGCTCACTGAGCTTCAGCACCCTCATAATTTTTGTCTAAATGCTTTCTAGTGTAAAGGGTAAAGGGACCCCTGACCATTAGGTCCAGTCGCGGACGACTCTGGGGTTATGGCGCTCATCTCGCTTTATTGGCCGAGGGAGCTGGCGTACAGCTTCCAGGTCATGTGGCCAGCATGACTAAGCCGCTTCTGGCGAGCCAGAGCAGCGCACGGAAACGCCGTTTACCTTCCCACCGGAGCGGTACCTAGTTATCTACTTGCACTTTGATGTGCTTTTGAACACATCAGGAGCAGGGAGCGAGCAACGGGAGCTCACCCCGCCGCGGGGATTTGAACCGCCGACCTTCTGATCGGCAAGCCCTAGGTTCTGTGGTTTAACCCACAGCACCACCCGCGTTATATTTATATTCTTAGTAGAACATCCTTTACTGGAACAATGTTGTTAATATAAATCAAATAGTATTGTCTTTTTTGATGAAGCATTATAGTGTTGAACCATCTTCAGTTTTCATAGAATCATAGAATTGGAAGGAACTCCAGGGGTTATCTAGTCCAACCACCTGCACTTGTAGGTATCTCAACTAAAGCATCCATGACACTTGGCCATCCAACCTCTGGTTAAAAACCTCCAAGGAAGGAGAGTCCACCACCTTCCAAGGCAGTCCATTCCACTGTTGAACAGCTCTTACTGTCAGAAAGTTCTTCCTGATGTTTGCTGGAATCTCCTTTCTCGTAACCTGAAGCCATTAGTTCAGGTCCTAGCCTCCAGAGCAGGAGAAAACGAGCTTGTTCCCTCTTCCATGTGATAGCCTTGAGATATTTGAAGATGGCTATCATATCTCCTCTGTCTCCTCCTATCCAGGCTAAACATACCCAGCTCCCCGAACTGTTCCTCATAAGACTTGGCTTCCAGGGAGGCTCGCCTAGTTTTTTCATTACATATCTTTAGGCGTCAGGTGAAAATGGTTCTCTATACCTCTATAACTGCATCACAGTCATTGGCTCATGTTCTGTTTGTGGTCTTCTAAAACCCCTAGATCCTTTTCACGTGTATTACTGGCAAGCCAAGTGTTCCCATCTTGTATTTCTGCAGCTGGTTATTCCTGCCTAAGTGTACAACCTTATATTTGTGTCTACTGAAATTTATTTTGTTAGTTTTGGCCCAGTTCTCCAATCTTTTAAGGTCATCTTAAATCTCAGTTCTGTCTTCTGTGGCATTAGCTATGCCTCCTAGTTTGGTGTCACCTGCAAATTTGATGAATATCCCCTCAATTTCTTCATCCAAGTAGTTTATAAAGATGAGCAACGGGCCTAGGGCCTCCCTCATATGAAGGCCCCCAGAGCTATTTGCAATGAACAAGAAGGAAGAAAGTCCCACTTCTTTTGGCTTTATTAAAATAATTGTGTAGGGCCACACCATACAGTCCTTAGGGACTCAATGTGGGAAGCTCATATATTTCCATTGCCTGCCCCTTTTACTAGGGGATAAAGTCTCTTTCATTTGTTAATGACAGTGATGGTGTTTCTTAATGTCACTGTTGACTGCTGTTCACTTTACACGGTTGAAATATTATTCTGATATACCGGTAGTTTATTAATAGTTTAGTAAAACATTTGATTCAGAATAATTTTTTTCTTGTTTTCCTCCTCTAAAAAACTATGGTAGTTTTTTATGGAGTGAAAAATACAGCATTTCAATCTCAGTGCTGTGGTTAGTTGATACTGTTTTGAATGTGGGACCCATCCTCTAAACTGCTTACTTTATTTCCTTTATCTTTTACAAGAAAGCAGTTGCAATATGCTTGATATTTTAGAAAAATTCATTGAAGATTTCTGTTAAATGTGTGTATCCTAACAGCCTGTGTATGTGAGAGAGAAAGAGCTCTGGCTTCTTCAATTTCCATGGTTCAACAGAATTACATAGAAAACAAATGACCATTTTTATCATTTCTTCATTTCTGATAAAATCATTTTAGTTAACCTAAATTCATTTTGAATTAACAACTTGCAATGCACTCTGAAATAATTAAATTGCAGTGTGTGCTTATCTTGGTTTTCCAAACAGACTTATCCCACCCATATAGAAGTCTACTGTTTGGTCAGCTCTATTGCTTAAGAATAAATCATTTTTTTCCTTTTTACATCAGTTGCTATAAAATATTAGCCACCTGTGAGAATTTGCATATTTGGAAGAACCTTCTGTTTGATTTTTTTTGGCTGTATTCCAAGGTTTGTATGTGTGTTTTTAAATGGTTTATAAAGGAAAGCAGAAATTGAGCCATTTCAAATCTTTCTAGTTAATTACTCTAAGAGGTACTGTATGTTAGGAAAATAAAGACACAATTTCTTAATTAATCTAGAAAAAATAAAGCAAACATTCTGAAATGCCAGTGGGCAATGCATGGGACAGAACCATGGCTATTCTGCTTAATAGCGATTATGTTGTACACAAGCTGAAGCCAGAGCCCTGTGTCGTCTGGGCAACTCCAGTTGCCATAGCAATGGAACTCTGTTGCAGGAGCAGGGTGAATGCTAATTGTAGCCATTTGTTGTTCCCTTCTGAGTCTTCTTTAACTTAGCACGATTGCAAAGCAGTCTGAGGTGCTGGGTGAGCAATATTGAGAACCCCAAAAGTACTGTTACTCAAGGAAACGGGATGCTTGACTTGAAGTAATTATTTTAGCAGTCAACAGTGCTGACAGTGCCACTGTGTGGGCAGGGATACAATCTGATAGGGATAGAGAGCTGTTTAAAAGCTGGTTTGTTATTATTTATCTACTTCCAGCATTTGTATGTCATTCCATACAGTTTACAGTTAGTAAGTAAAAATAATGCAAATATAAGAATAAAGCACAAAACTGTTTAAAAAAATGAGATGCCCATTTAAAAGACCTGGGTGTCCCAAAGGCTGCAAAGATGGTGCCAGATGAGCTTCCAGTCTGCTCCATTACCAGGGTGTTGCTAATTAAAAGGCCTTTTATCTGGTAGTTATCCACATCACATTAGAGCCAGTGTGGCACAATGGTTAGAGTTTTGGACTAGGACTTGGGAGAGCAGGATTCGAATCCCCACTCAGCCACGAAGGTCACTGGGTAACCTTGAGCCAGTCCCCATCTCTTAGCCTAACCTACCTCACAGGATTGTTGTGAGAATGAAATGGGGAAGAGGAGAACCATGTAAACCATCTTGAGATCCTTGAAAGATAAAGGTGATATATAAATGTTAATACTGCTGCTGCTGCTGCTGCTGCTGCTGCTGCTGCTGCTACTACCACCACCACCACTACTACTACTGCTGCTACTAATAAGAATAATATATGGTGGGTGTGCATGGAGCAGGATGTCTGAAGACGATTTTCCTGCATTGTAGGGACTTGGAGTAGATGACCCTTGGGGTCCCTTCCAACTCTACAATTCTGTGATTCAAGATCCTTAGGGGTTTACCAGTTAAAAGCAGCAATTTAAATTTGGCCCAGAGACAGATTGAGAGTCAGTGCAGCCAACAGAACACAGAATAAATATGGTCAAATGACACAGTCCAGTTAATAATCTTGCAACCTGTTCGAGACAACTGCAATGTCCAGACCACTTTTAATGTCATTACAGCCTAAATGAGAGTTTACCATGGCACCAAATGAAGCATTTTTCTTTGTAGATTTGGCTTGAGTCTGCAAAGAAAAAATGTTCCTTTGCATAAATGACTCCGCGTAGGAACACAGGAAGCTGCCGTATTGGTCAACCTGGCTCAGTACTGTCTACACTGACTGGCGACATCTTTCCATGGTTTCAAACATGGATAAGTGAAACCAATTGCCTGTCTCTTTGATTCTTGCCCATGTTGGCTAATAAAAGCAAGCCCGGAAGGACTGGATGATGGGCCCCACGGGGTGGTGAATGCTTCCCTCTGTGTTGGGAGTCTTCCTAGACCCATTGAAAGAAATGGTAATTAAACTGCTTCTTAAAAAAACATCTTTGTACCAACCACTATGGCCAACTATCGTCCATTCTCCATTCTTGGGTAAGGTGATTGC